GGGGGGGGGGTGGGGGGGGGTCTGAATTGAGCGATCAATTATTAGACCCGGACGTCCCAACACTTGCTTCGCAAGACAAACTCAAGGTATCCCCTAAAGGGCTACCTTTCGTGACCTGCACGCTTTCCTTTAATGTTTAAATCAAGTGATGTAAACAATATTGTTTCGGACCTATTCACCTTGCCGTTCCCTCTCAGGGCTGTTTCTCAGGGTTCAGGTTGCCCAGCGCTCTAAGCCGGTAGTGTAGTCACTAGAGTGGAACCTTCAAACTGATTTAGCTCTTGCGATCAATGATCTAAGTGTGGGTTTTGTTCTAACCACATACCGCATGCCCGCTCTTCTTGTTCCAAGTCATGAGTTTCGCGGTTAAAGAAAAGAACATGTTTGTCTGTCACTCTAGACAAGAACGCAAGCTGACCACAAAACCCTCATCTGCTGCATCTCCACCCTGATCCTCTCGTTCTTGTCGATCTCAAAATTGAAGTTGCAAGACACATGCGTCCAGAGATCAAAAGTCCCATAGAACCGGGAGATGTACTCCTGTTCAGGCATGTAAGTGCCATAGTGTTGGGGATGGTCATAGTCATGAACCTCCGACATCATTTCATGAAGCACAGACTTGCTGGGTTGCAGTAGCATGACGCCTGCATTGATCCCCGAAGCCTGCTGGTGTTGCGGTAACTCATCTCCTTGACGTCTGGTTGGATGACCCCATATCAATCCATAAGGCACGGGATCACCATGGGATGGAATGGGAGGACCGCGCTTCATGGCTGCTGGCGGCCGAAGATGAAAAAGTTTGGCCAAAGACTCACCGCCATCACGCACCAACAAGTCCAAGTCCAGAAAGAGGACTTTATCGAAGTCCTCCTGCTCCAGCACCCTAAGCTTTGTGAAGACATCAATAAAGCGGCTTGTTTGCCAATTCTTGAACAGTGCCCAAGCAACTTTGCTCAAATATTCCACCTCTCTGCAAAGCCACCCCGCGGCGGACAGGGCTTCAAGGTACCTCTTTGGAACATCTGGTGTATGCATCAACAATGCAGTGATACCACTGCCATAGCGTTGAAGACCTTCCCCAAGCACCAGGGCACCCAAGAAGTACTTGTGGCATGCCGGGCCATACAACAGCGTCGCATATGCATATCTATTTCCATCTCTGGCTGGCACGTCCATAGCAAGCTGGGCTGCAATGGCCACTGGCCGACGACACCAAGGGCATCCAGTAACATTCTGTTCAGAGACAGCACCAGTCCAATGCAGTGGCACAGCCCACGATCTCCCCCGAGGGCGATCTGCACTGCCACATGGCGAGAAGTCTTGGTCACACCTCAGATTGGTCCCGCCCGCTCCCTTCCCTTGCAACCCTTCAACCATGCTATCACTACCTTTTTGCAGCAACTCTGCTAACAATAATACGTTTTCTACGAAACTCTCTCAGGACTAGCTTTCTATACTGACTGATGGCTATTCTTTGCAAAATATAAGTTGAGACGCCAAAAACTAGCAAGGCGAAGGAGAAAGGGAACACCACGAAGGAAAATGCAAGTGCAAGCTAGTGATACAATTCACATGAGAGGCGTCTAGAGCAAAGATGCATTGAAAAAGTGGTGAACACGTCTTCCAAAGTTCGGGCAAGACACCAAGCCTCCAAAGCGGCACCCAGTGGCTTCAAGCTGAGCAATTCTTCCAAGACCTTGTGCTGCTCATCCAAGGGCAGCTCCCGCAAGGCTTGAAGAACACCATGTCGGTCAGGCATGACTGAATCTGATTTGCTGTTGTAGAAGTTCTAGACTATTCAGCTCAACATGCCTACAGTTAGTTTACGGATGAATAGACTTAGCAAAAGTTCTACCGCCTCGGTAGAAAGTTGATGAAGCCACCTTTTTTCGATGTTGAGTTTCTTTATTGCTTGATTGACATCTGCTCTTCTTTGATCGTTTTGGCAAGAGCTGCGGCGGTGGCTAGGTGAATAGATTGCCCTGAAAGCATCACTTCATCACCGACAGGTCGGCTGGGCTCTCCGTCTTCATTGCCCAACCAGAATTGTCCGAGGCTGGGCCAACCTCGGAAAAAGGAGAACTTTCACAGAGAACGGATAGAATGATAGAACGCAGCTTCAGGAACGATAGAAGGAAACATGAAGACCACATGAAAAATATCATCCTTGGGCCCAGGCCCATTGTTCACGCAATCCTTGAACTTTGCCTGCCGGAACTTCAACCATCAACTGAAAAGACCCTAGGAAGCGCATTGAGGACAGACTACCAAAGTTGAACCAATTTGTCAGACGGTGTCCAATAGAGTCAAAACCCTCTCAGCCTCGCCTGCGAAACCTGAGAGTTCTCACATCCACCCCGCTGGGATGCAAAGCCGAACATCGCTCTGGAGGCTCCTGTGCTTAAGCTGGGGCAGCTAGGCCGTCTTTCGATTTTGAAAATGTTGCATTCTTTATGCAAGTTGGCTTTGTTTATTCCCAGGTTCTCTTAATCTCAGCTGAGGTGCGCCCGTAGACAGGAGCATCGCAACCTCACGCTTCACATCTCTCGACGATATCTAAAAATCTAAACCATGTTTAACCCCCAAGTCGAAGGCCCAAAGTTGGGAAATCGTGTCGACGCGGTGAAAAGCGAGCCTAGATTGAGAAAACATGTGTATAAATATATATATATATATATTGTGAATCGGGGTCCACCCGGTACCAGAACCAGTTGAGTGTAGGGTCCTTGTTGTTAACGTCTTACCACCGATAAACGGTGGCTCAAGTCACAGAGGTCCGTGCGGTGAAACAGGTGCCATGGATGTTGTTCGTGCCCCTGCCACTCTGTGAGGGAATCCTCACAGAGTGGTAGCGGAGCACCTGGTTGCGGTGAGTGTTCCATCCGACATCGGGAGTTCTGCTTTGGGATATGTCCGCACCTGACCTTCAAGGAAACCCTGGACTAGACACCCCAGTGACTGAGAGAGTTCAAGAATCACCACCACCGGCTGGCGAGACGAGCGCTAGAGCAGATGATGAAGGTGAGACTTCAGGAGATCCATGGATGCAGTCACATCGAGGTCAACGAGTTGACTCGTCAGAATTCAGGCAATTTTTGAATTTTGTTGAAGCACGTTCACGAGGACAATACCCTCCTCGGAACACCTCCAGTAGAGACCGACCAGGCCACCGGTCCTATGCCTCACAGGACTCAGGAGATGATCGGGACGATGGTGAACGGACCAATGCTGGTCCACCCCCAAGTTTTGACGGAACTGGCTTCAAGGACTTCCAGATTCGAGCGAAACTCTGGTTGGCTACGACGAAATCGAAGCCGAGAACTCGTGGCCCCTCCTCAAAAACATGACCGGTACAGCATTTGACAACTTCAAGCATCTTGCCAAGGACGATAGTTGGTTGTCAAACCCCCTCAACGGTCAACTCCTGCTAGATCAAATGGATACACGAGAATACTATGGAGATGACTCTCGAGAAGATATGCTGAACTGTTTGGGGAAGCTGACCTATCAGCTGAAACGAAACAAGGGTGAAGGCCAGAGGGATTTTTGCGCTCGCTGGGAGAACGCAGTCAGAAAGGTCAAAGAACATGGTGCTCAGTTGCCACCGGAATATCTTGGCTTTTTGTTCATCAGAGGAAGTGAAGCTTTTGATGAATTTCAGTAAGGGTAGTCTTCATGTCACCGACGTTCGAGAGTGGCTTCGAGTCCATGAGACGGAATTGGACTTCAAGATATCGAATAAAGAGGCCATCAAGACCACCGACAAGAAGGGCATCTACCTAGCTGAACATGTTGATGACAGCTTGGATACTCCTGAAATCGATGAAGCGGACTCTGAGTATGAGGTGCTCATGGCTGCCGCCGAAGAGCTCGGCCTGGACCCAGTGACCTCAGCACCTGATGAGGAGATCTTTGAGGAGTCCGATGCCAAGGAGATCCTTGCCACCATGGTTCGTGACCACGGTCAAGGAAAAGGTCGTGGCAAGTCGGGAGGCAAGAGGACCTTCCAGCAGGCCAGCAGGATGAAGAAAACGAAGGAATTGTCCCGCGAATACGGACGAGGCCGTAGCGGATTCCTTCCAACAGGTACATACCGTGTTTCAGTGGAAGAACTGAAACGCAAGACCCGCTGCAGTGTCTGCCATCAGATCGGACACTGGCATCGTGATCGTGAGTGCCCGGGCAAGGCGGGAGCATCCAAAGAAGTTCAACTCCTGGAATCCGATGAAGCCCTTTTCATCCATTTCCTCGAGTATCAGGACTACAAGAATGAACAACAAGCTGAGGTACACCATTTGAGCCGTGATGATGAATGGGATCCACTGCAAGAAGCAGTCAGCCAGCGGCGAGCCGTTCGTGCGGCACCTCAAGCCACTTCGGATCATGGTGTCACGGCAGATCCTGCCTCAGCGTCCGATCGAGTATACAAGGAGCGCAGTCCACCTATTGAAGCTTTTTGGAGTGAGAAGTGTTTTGAACATCTGAGAAGATCTGATATTGATGAGCGTTCATGTGCAACAGTAGACACGGGGTGTCAGAGAGCAGCGATTGGTCTTGAGACATTGTACAAATTGCAGTCAGCACAACCTAAACAGCTTGAGATTTTGATGAAACCAGAACCACATCGTTTTTGCAGTGTACATGGCACATCAACAACACAACGAGTGGCACGCATACCAAATAGCATTGGACCAAACGGCTGCATTTTACGACCAGCAGTATTCGAAGATGAGCACGGAAGCCAGGCCCCATTTTTGTTGTCCTTGCCCTTCCTTTTAGAGTGTCGATCCGTCTTGGAGTTGGATCCGACAGTTGGATTGTCCGTGTTTCTTCGAAAGTACAACCACAGAATTCCCCTACACCTTGGACCAACGGGAGCCCTACGCATACCACTGCATGAGTTCACTCCGCAAATGTTGCAGCACTTGCAAGCTGGATCTCACAAGCTGAAGAATGTGAATGAACACGAGATTCTGAATCTTATGGCTCGAGATTGTGGGACTGGTGCTCAGCAGCAACCGGCCGCAAATTCTGGTGTCATCGAGCCCAAGGATGCACCAGCAACAGAAACGCAGCCGAGCCATGGAGCAGAAGCGGGACGCGATTCCGCAGTGGCGTCGATTGGCCCTCCGACTTCTGCTGATGATCCGCCAAATGATGATCTCCCAGATCTCCAATCGACTTCACATGTCAGGACCTCCGGGAATGAGAACTCGTCTGGTGATCAACGAGCTGGAGAACATGAGCGAGTCCGACCTGGAAGTCTCACCTACAGGAAGAACTGGAGCAACGCAGACTGGAGGATTTCTCTCTAGTCAGTGGCGGAAAGGGCAAGAAGACACAGGGCTACATCCCAGAACCAGCAGCTCCAAAAACTCCGGAGCGGCCCAAGTGGGAACCTCCATCTCCGGTGATGTCACCGAGTATGGACAGCAATCAACGACCTCCCCTATGCCATTGTCATCTGACGACCACACTCCAGATCTTGAGGAAGGAGGGGTACCACTTTCATCGTCAGTTCTGGACATGCCCACGCTGGGAAACCACCAAGTCTTGCGGCTTCTTCATGTGGACCAAGGACCAGCCATTTTGGAGTCCCAGTCCGAACAAGAAGGGAGTCATTCCCTTGCTACCCACGGCCGATCCGCAGACAGCCAAGTATCCCACGCAAATGGATCCAAAGATCTGCCCTCGCTACAACGTGACCAAGGCCGGCAGCAATGGATGGATCGAGCAAACTCGTTGCATCGACTGCCAAACCATTCTGGAGCGCAAACAGCGCACCAAGCCGGCGTCAGCTGCCAGCTCACACCAGGACAGTGCGATTCCTGGGGATCAACAAGCATGGGAAGAATTTCAAGAGTTCAAGCAGTTCTGCCAGATGCAGCGCCGACGCCGCTGAGTCCAGAAGTGAGAGCATTGAATCCAACTCATTTGCACCGGATGTGCTCTAGTTTGGAATCAGCTGAAATTATGTGGCAACAAATGTTACAGATCTTTGACGACCCGACCAAACATGTTGGTGAAGAGTTGTTTTTGACAACGGTTGCAAAAGACTTGAAACCAACGAAAAGGAACCTCCGCAATGCAGAACAATTGTTTCGGGTTGACAAGTCGAATTTGAGAATGATCTCAGAGGTCTTCAACCCAGACCGGTTTGGACCCGCGACACAAAAGTTTGGACTTCAGCGAGGCCAGATATTTGATCTGACTCTTGGAGATGATCTTCTTTCTAAGCAGTCGCAAGAATCAGTCGTTTCACATATTCGGACAGAACGACCTGGATTGACGATCATTTCACCCCCATGTGGTCCTTTCAGTGCCCTCCAGAATTTGTCACAGTCATTGAGGAGTAGAGACTGGACAGCTGCAAGAAAGTTCATGAACAAACTACATGAAGCTAGGAGACTCCTTCGTTTTGCTGCACACGTTTGCCTGACATGTCATGAGCTGGGATTGTCCTTTTTGTTTGAACAACCTCAAACCGCGCGGTCTTGGTCCGAACTTTGCATTCGGAAGCTCCTCCAAACACGCGGTATCGAACTAGTTCATGGCGATCAGTGCATGTATGGCCTCAAACTCAAGGCCTCAGGTGCAGCTGTCAAGAAGCCAACGAGCTTCATGGGTAACAATCCAAGTGTGCTCGCAGCCCTCTCCAAGAGATGTGATCATAGTCATCGGCATGAACCTGTGACTGGCTGCGACTCCAATGGATCGAGATCTTCGCAGGCACAAAGATACCCTCCGGGGCTCCTGAACACGATTCTCAAGAGCTGTGCCCAGTCGATCAACCGTCCAGAAAAGGAACTTTACTTGATTCTGGCTGCTGTGATATCATCAGCTTGGATCGGCAGGTCGATGAACACTACTACACCTCCGAAGAAACTGCAGAGATTTTTGCGGAAGGCGAGGATCTGATCCCAGCCTTGGATGCTCCTTTCTATGGCTCTCAAGAGAACGAGTTCACAATTCAAGCCAAAGAACATTTACCTGCAGGAGATTGGAAGTTCTGGACCCGAACTGATCTCCAAGTCGACAAGTACCAAACCACAAAAGGGGATGGTCCACACTTCAACCTGGTGGACTACAGGCTGACCTTTAACCTGGAAACGAAGGAACTGATCAAGCTGGAATCTGTGAGCGACCTGAATTCCGATGAGCTCGAGAAGGCACTGGAATCCGAGAACCAAAACATCGTAACTGTTTTTGCTTGGCAGAAACTTCGTGAACTCGCCGGGTCTCGTCAGGTGAGTCTCGAGAGGCTGGTTCGACGTGCCCATGAAGGTTTAGGTCATCCCGGGCTCAATAGATTTCTTCGTATAAGGTTAAGCCGAAATACTAGAGATTGCCAAAAACCTTAGGTGTTCGGTTTGTCAGCAACTCAGTATGCCAGCAACCCGTCGATTCAGTGCTCCACCAAGGGAGAACCTCCAATTCAATGATTTGATTGGGGTTGACTCGATTAAGATTCGTAATCATAGGAATGAAGCTGTCACTGCACTGAACTGCATTGATTATGCATCTCACTTCCAATTAGTCATCCCGATGACATCAGCCACAGCCAAAGCTGCCAGAACAGCCTACCGACAGTGGACTCGAATATTCGGTGCTCCTCGAAGAATGTACGGTGACCTTGGCTCTGAGTTCAAGGCATCTTTCGTTCGAGCCGTCGAAGAAGATGGGACTGAATTTGTACCTAGTTCCTTGGAAAGCCCTCACCAGAGAGGCCTTGTTGAGCGAGCTGGAAAAACGTACAAACAAATTTTGTATAAAACCATGAACACCGTCCCATGTGAAAGTGAGGAACAGTGGCGAGAAAACGTCGACGCCAGTTCGACGATGAGAAATAGGTTATTGCTGAAAGGGGGGTACTCCCCCATACAGCGGGTCATGGGGTTCACACCGAGACTCCCCGGAGAACTGCTTTCCGGCCGTGATCCACAGTTCTCAGAACGAACGCCGGTGAGACCGGGAGATTTGTCTGTTTTGAGAAGCATGGAGCTCCGACGATCCGCAGCAAAAGCGTTTTTCGATTCCGACTGCCAAAGTGCCCTCCAGCGAGCCACCCTCGCCGGACCACGTCCCTGGAGAACTTTCGAACCAGGACAAATCGTGTTTTTCTTTCGAAGAGGCGCTGATACTCAGAAGAAACCTGCCTCTTTCTACTGGCAAGGACCTGCCAGAGTCCTGCTGGTAGACATGCCAAACACCATTTGGCTTTCACACCGAAATCACCAGAACGCATTCGAGCTGCCAGTGAAGAAGAAACCATGACCCTGTCATCATGGTTAGAGGGGTTGACTGAGCTTCGGGATCAACTTCGTCGTCCCGAGATTCGTGGGTTGATCGATTTAAATAAAGAGGCACCTCCTACTCAAGATGAATTAGGTGAAGAAGAAATCAATCCAGATAGAGATGATCTCATAGATCCTGATGCTAGAACCCCGTCAACCAATGTTGGAACCTAGTGAGCGGAGACCACTCACAGATCTCCCCGAGCCTGCCAGGAGAGTTCGAGCGAAAACGGCTATCGGCGACTATGCCGAGCGCTCTGCCGATCCGCCTGGCGAACAACCAGCTCCAGAATCTGGTGCAGTCCTGCCACCACCCGGATTGGCTCCTGCTGTGGATGGTCAAGGACAACCGTTCGTTTCCGAGCCCGATCTCGAATATACTCCGAGTGAACCTCCGATTGAGCCGGAACTTCCAGATACAGAAATGACTGCAGATCATGGAGAGAAACGTGAACACGAAGATGATACAACAGAAGATATTGTTTCTCCTCCCGACAAGCGACAAAGAGTTGAGTTTTTGGAGACAGTTTTACAAAAATGTGGCATGACCAAAAAGAGAAAAGAACATACTGCCAAAGACTTTACTGGAAAAGATTGGCACCGGCTCATCAAGGCCATTGCGAAGGAGATCAATCAGAACCTGGCCTCAGGAGCTTATGAACTTCTGGATCGAACCACCTCTGAGGAAGTTCGAAGATCCAAGCTGGATAAAATCATGGGTTCAAGATATGTTCTGGTCAAGAAACCTCTTGAAGACGCAGAAGTCGACAAAGCTCGCGTCGAAGACCTCTCGCTGGACGATCAGGAACATGGACCCGTGAAGGCAAAATGTCGACATGTCATGCAGGGTTTTCGGAACCCGACGCTCTTGACGTTGAGACAACCACCCCACAGGTCACAAGAGATGGGGTTGTGTTTATAGCACAAGCGCTGTCCAGTTTGGGCTGGACACCTGGATTTCTTGGTTTTACGCAAGCTTTCCATAGTGGAGATCAAATCAACCGAGAACTATATGCTGAACAACCAAAGGAAGGTATCCCAGGCGCACACCCTTCACAGCTGATCAAACTGCGCAAACATTGCTATGGATTGACCGATGGTCCCCACAAGTGGTATGAACACCTGTGTCGATACTTGGCTTCAAAGGGGTATCAACAATCTCGTTTGGATCCTTGTTTGTGGATGCTGTTTGACAAGAGTTCAACTCATGGGAAGCTGAAGGGTATTCTAGGTGTGGCTACAGATGATGTGTTTCATGGTGGTGATGTTGATCACTGGAAACATATTGAACAGATTTCTCAGGACTACAAGCTGGGGAAGAATCAACAGAAGGCAGGTCGATTTACTGGCAAGGATATTCGACAGCTAGGTGATGGGTCGATTGAAAACAACCAAAGTTACTATGTGGGCGACAAGGTGAAACTGATTCCACTTGAAAAGAAACGCCGCAGTCAGCGGTATGACAAGTGCACGGCGACCGAGATTGAACAACTTCGAGGACTCTTGGGGACCTTGTCCTGGTTGAGCAAGGAAACAAGGTGTGATCTAGCAGGTCGATGTGCATTGTTACAACAGAGTTTTCCACATCCAAAGGTGAAAGATTTGGAAGCAGCCAACAAATTAGCACAAGAAGCAATACAGTACAAACATCTTGGGATCAAAGTTCAACCAATTCCTTTGTCAGCACTCCGTGTTGGAGTAGTCACAGATGCCTCCTGGGGCAATGCCAGGGATTCCGGAAACGGAATCGAGGATCCCATCAAATCCGATTTTTGGGAGGAGACTCCCACATCTTGGGTTCGTCATCATGTCCAACCTCGAAAGAGTTATTTCCATCCCGATTTTACAACCAATGGTCCAAGTCTCCACGTCGAACAGATCGGATTCTTGCTGACCATGGTTGTGTTTCTGAGACAGATTCGTGGAACTCAGCGAACAGTCTCAAGTGCGCTTCAGAAGACTGGACCGGAAAAACAGTATTTTTGAAGGCAACAAAACAACAACCAGCAGTTCCTGCATCTCAGATCCGTTCCTTGGCGGAACAACAAGCCTGCTTGAGCAGTCAGGGTGGACAGTGCATTGTGTACTACGATGATCAGTTGACCACCTCACAAACTCCGACACCAGTGACAGTAGCATCCTGGCGCAGTTACCGACTGAAACGAAAGGTCGTTAGCACCCTGGGAGCTGAGAGTCAAGCGCTGATCAACGGAGTGGGCTCAGTCAACTGGCATCGACTTTTGTTGTTGGAAGTTTTGAGTGGCGTTAGCACCAACAGGAACTGGGAAGCACAACTCCAGAAGCTTCCATTCATCACGGTTACTGACAGCAAGTCACTCTATGACACCCTGAAACGCGATGCTTGTCCAGCAGCACAGTTTTGTGACAAACGGGTGGCAATCGACATTTCAGTTTTAAAGGATGAATTTAAGTCTCAAGGTGGTATCATCAGATGGATCGACACTCGAGCAATGATTTCTGATGCTCTCACGAAAGATGGTCCACCAGTCTATTTGAGACACATCCTTGAGACCGGTCAGTGGTCAATACTGGAAGAAGGGGTCGCTTTGCAGAGAAAACTTCTGGAGCGAACCCCCCTACACTCAAAAGAGAATGGTACCAGTGTGAATCGGGGTCCACCCGGTACCAGAACCAGTTGAGTGTAGGGTCCTTGTTGTTAACGTCTTACCACCGATAAACGGTGGCTCAAGTCACAGAGGTCCGTGCGGTGAAACAGGTGCCATGGATGTTGTTCGTGCCCCTGCCACTCTGTGAGGGAATCCTCACAATATATATAGATATAGATATGATTTACAAACAAAAAGAGTACGGGACCCTTGAAATGAGGCACCTTTAAAGGGAGGCCTTATTGCAGGAGTGATGTTTCAATGCCATGCAATCTGATCTTTGTTCCACTTTCGCAAGTTTTGAGCCGTTCCCGCCACGGAGCATGCCCCCTCTGCGTTGGACTCTCCGAACTTTCGCGTCTTCAGCAAGGCTTCGGCGTCACGAACCTTGGGCCGTGACACCGGTGTGTCCTTCAAACACGCATATCTCCTTCAACACAGGTCGGATTAGCTTGTTCGAGGGTGGTGGCCATCGCTATTAAGTTGGAGGCCATTGCAAGTAGGTTGGAGGAGATCAAACAATCAGAGTGCAGCACCCCCTCTTGATAAACCTGCTTCAGATGTGACAGCCAAAGGCTCACAACGCGATCAATTCTGCACGTGAAGAATAGGCAACAAGCACAAAACAGGTGAAGGGCGCGCATATCATGCCAAGCAGCCGCTTGAAAGTAGAACATGCCTTAGAGATGACATTTTGCAAAGGTAGTGGCACAATCATTCTAAGGCTTGCACCCAGACCCACAGCACATGTACTCAAGGCCGCCAGGGCTAGGAGCAAGGTCAACCCATGGATGCCAAGCGATTCTCGGCTCCTCGCTAAACTTCAAAAATCACATCTTGCGATGCATCGTGTTTCAATCTTGCAATGTTTCAATCTTACGCTTTTGTTGATGACAATCTTTCGATGATTCTCCATCGCCTCCCTGCAATGAATTACTCCTTTTAGGCGCATCTGCTTTGTCGTCCTGTGACCCCAGGCATCATGCTCAGGGCTTGCCTTCCAAAGGCCACAAGCAACGAGCAACTGCAAAGGCTGATCGAAACTTTGTGCTTTGCAAACAGCATTTTCTGCTAGGAACAAGAAGCTACTAGGTGCAAAGGGCAACGCTACTAGGAGCAAGGACGCTACTAGGGGCGCTTCTGGCCTTACTAAGAAGCTCCTAGGAACAAGGGCATCGCTACTAGTAACAAGGGTATTAGTAGGAGCAAATAGATACTAAGAACAAGAAGCTGATAGATTTCGGTGAAACGAGCATAGTTTCGCATCCAGCCTCCACCGGCCAGGATGCAAGCCTGCAATGGAGCCGAGCATGCGCGCTTTTGCCACACATGTCTTTTTGTAAGAATGCCAAATGCGTAACGGAGATCGTTCTCATGTTCTTCAACATTGATATCGTCAACGCCTTTTCTGCTTCACGGCGGCCACTGTGGCCACCAAGACAAGCAGCACCTGGTACTTCATTGCCTCGAGGCACATCACACAAAGCGGGAGGACGATACACTTTTGAGGTTGTTACTGTTACTACTCCTTTTGTTTATAGGCATTTTAGACTAACCTCTAGAATCCTTTAGACATAATAGACTATTAGACCCTAAACAAATCTTTCGTCCTTGATTCCTAACGGTAGCCTAACGTAGCTGCTGGTTCGTTGTGACCTGCACACTCCACACTGACCCCAACTTGCCGGGTCGACCAACCACAGGTCGTTGCCGAGACGACACCGTGGGCTGAGCCAAGTCGTGCCGGCACAAGTCCAAGTGGACAATGTTTTTCAGAGACATCTTGTTCCTAGTAGTAAGGCCAGGAGCGCCCCTAGTAGCGTCCTTGCTCCTAGTAGCGATGCCCTTTGCTCCTAGTAGCTTCTTAGTTCCTAGCAGAAAAGGGACAAACAACAAAAATTATCCGCTTCCAAAGATTGTGGTTGTTTGTTCCGGAATTCGGAGCGGCCAAACGGACGAGCCGTTGCGCAAACAAAGCTGTACAACTCTTGCAAACTCGCAGTACATCTCGAGGATCAAAGAGGATCAGAGGTGAATAGGAAATGAAGGCCGTACTCCACACTGTTCGGTGTGTAAGCAGCATCTCTCTCAATTGCACTGCCCTAAATTTGGCGCCAGTTGACCATCGGCCATTTGGAGCAAGCTGCAACTGCCTTGATAGAGGCATAGAAAAATGACGAAAGATGAGTGAAAAGCATTCGTGAAGCATGTCACTTTCGACCCAATATTACTATCATTATCATGCTAGATGGAAAAAGTGAAAGGCACCACAGATTTGGATGTGGCCATATCAGGAACTTGTTGCAGTGGTGCATGCATTGCGGAATTAAAGAAGGTCGCCCTCCAAAGAACTTCTTAATTTGCAACTTCCCATCCTGGCATCAACTGTTCCTTGGAAGACAGGCCGTACCGACATGGTCCTTTTAGGAGCAATTGGTTGCGGTGACAGACAGCCACCGAAAATGTCAGATCTGCCCAGGCATTCAAAGCCAAGTTGAATGATGGAACCTCAGCATCTTGTTGCCAAACGCTTGAAGCCGCTTGCAATGTGCAAAGTTGCATGTTGATTCATCACATTCAACGAAATGTTTCATTGCGCTACTTCCAGTTGTTCATTTAAAGAATGTTGTCCATCGTACAGTGGCGCGCACAGACCGAGCCTCATCCCAGCCCAAAGCCATTGTTGGAGCCTACCATCAACGAGCCAAACATGCATGATCACGAAATATCCAGGTTTACCGTGTTCGTGCCGCAAACAAGACACACCACGTGATTGGATTTGTTTGAACTACCTGATGTTACATACTGTATGTAACTGGTTCCTAAGGCCTAAGGATTCACTCACGGATTCAAATTCATAAGGCAAAACCATAGCGAACAAAAATTGTTATTATTTGAGCCATCTCTAAGGCACCGCACGCTGGCGGTATAGACTCTGTGGAGTTGCACCTGCACCACTTGATTATGAATTGTCAGAAAAAGTTCAGCTTAAACACAAGCCCTCTGATAAAGATGATTGCTACTTGATTCAGCTGAGAACTTCCGAGTCTAAGCTTTGATCCAAAATCAGATTCCAGGCCTGCAGGTGATTGAGCTCTCGATGATGGCCTTCGATCTTTCACAAAGGAGCCATGAACAAAATCCATATCAAACATGTTACCACGACCACCCATCGCTCTTGGGTTGGAGGCCATCGCTATTAGGTTCCTTTTGCTATACACACACAACGAATGGATTGACGAAGTGTTCCAGTCTTCCTCAAGCGACCTGCCTGGACCCATAGCGCCTCGGGCGTTCAGGCGCCTCGCGGGCTGCTGACACTGACCGGCTCCGGCTGCGAACCGGCTGAGGTGCCGCCGGGGCCTCAGCATCTTGGATTTCAGAGGAGCAAAACAAAGACCTTTAAGGAGGACCTCCAACCAAGAGCGGCGTATGGCTTTCAAAAGTCTTCTGGCACATCCAGGTCCCAAGGCGAGTTGTTGAGGCCAATTATCCTCTGTTTCAATGGAATCTCCCTCGTCAAAGTCACTGTTTCACTTGTCCAGTATTGGATCGAGCCAAGGAACTGATGGGCTACGTTGCATCGCAATCTGATTGCTGGGCACACGCTCAAGCCCCCGCGCCTCACACCAAAGGCACAAATGCGGTTTGGTAATATGTTCTTGTGGGGCTCTTTACTACGGTTCTTGGTTGAAGAAGCATGCGACTCAACCTTACCAACCTCCAACGAGCGAGGAAACTCAGTAAGAAACTCACGCGACTCCGTCCCCCATATTGTTACCAGTAGCTTCTTGTTTATAGTAGCGATGGCCTCCAACCTACTTGCGATGGCCTATAGCGTCCTAATACTGTGGAACTCCGTTAACCCTGCATGACTTCTTTGAGGCCAGGCCCGTTTCGATGCTGTCTCTCAAGAATCTTCTGGCAAAGCCTTGTCGTTTTTGCGGATGTCAGGAAAAAGGCCGCCTCAAAAGATGAACGCCGGAAAACCACAGGTAGAACGGCATGAAGAACGGCTGAAAGAGGACAAAGAACCGCTAGTTCGATCCAACAAGTCTTCCCGCACAGCCTTCAGCTTTAGCCTTCTCTTGAGACGGGGCTCTAGGAACGAAGGCCGGTGAGCTTCCACCTCAGCACCGCACCCACCCCTTGGGCGCCATTCACTGACACTACCTGGGATACCATGTCATCAAAGCGCACTTATATCAATATACTTCTTATATACATCCTATATATCTCTTCTTATATTTCTTGCGTCCCTGTGAGAACTCTAGTGAGTAGGCAACCTCACGAAAACAGTGAAGTCTTCCTCAATGATAGGGGGAAGCTAGACATCGAAGTGCCAAGTGGCCTTCGTGAAGCATGTGGGTTGAGAACCCTCGATACACAAACCAAAAATTTTGACAAAGAAGTCAAGAATCCCCCCATTTTGTGAAGTACATGCGCAGCGGACCACTTCCGAACGCACATTGAAGAAACAAAGCACCCAGCTGAAAAAATCTGAAAGGTTATCCTGAATCAGAAATAGGGTCAACCTGAGTCAACCTCCCACGAAGTCACGAAGCAAACCAGCAGTGGAACCAGCCCGGCGGAACTGACAAGCATCGGTTGAGGGGCAAATGACTTACCTCAAATTTTGTGACGGTGAGCTATTATTTGACAAGTTCCGGGTTCTATCTTTGAAGGCTACTGGAGTCGCTGTTCTCTGATCTTTTCTGTGCTACTCTGCGCTACTCTGGCTACCTTCCGGTTCTATGGGCGACTCTTGCCTTCTTGACTCTGAGGCAGCTGCTTGACTCTAAGCACACTGGGCTACTGAAGGATCTACTGTCTTTTCAATTTGTGCCTAGTGATTGGGCTGAAGGCTGCTCTGAGGTGTTCTGCCTGAGTTCACTCAGTTCCCTGCTCAGAGGTCTACTCAGCCCACTTTAATTTGCCACAAATGATTTAGTTATTGATTCATTTCTGAACTAGCTAGGTTGCATGGGAGTGGGTCAGCAGTCTTGATCTTAGATCTCGCAAGCCCACAATTGTACGGGTGGTAAATCCTCAACCCTAGCACCAAAGACCTTGTCCCTCCCCTTTCCACATTGAGACCACAGCTCCGCGGATATGCTGACCTGGCGCACAAGTGTGCACGACGCAAGGCAAATGAAAAAGAGCTGGACAAGTGATTGGTCAGCACTCTAGAAAGTCTCCAACAGCTGGGAATCAAAGTCCGCCTACTGAGAAATGGCACCATCGCAAGTTCACCGACAAGTGTCGTGCTGCGCGAGCCTTTTCAATGCGCCACGCGAGCATACCAACACGGCAATACGTGGGCACAGCACATATCAAGTCAGCACGACAGCATGGCCCGACTTCGGCATCTCAGCGTGACAACATCTCAGCATGTTGACAGGGCCCATGCCAGCGCGCCAGCATGAGAACATGTCAGCATGACACCACACAAGCGTGACAACGCGAATCATGTCAGCAAATTGGCTTGGCAACACCTCGGCGATTCAGACAAATGCTTCACATGCTTGGGGCAATCTTGGAAAAGGCAGGCCAACTGGTCAGGACAGTTTCCTGATCAAGGCCTTGCATGGCGTTGCTGCTGATCTCTGGAACCCTGCTCCGGAACCTGCTCTGGAACCTGCTCCGGAGCTTGCTCCGATCTGCTCCGAAGTCTATACTATGGCTGAAGACCCCCAAAGCTTCGCTGTTGGGGAAAAGGTAGATCGACTACACTTGCCCAGTCCATTCACATCGCCTGGATGGACGCGCAATCTCAACCTTCCTGGAGCGAATCTTTTGTGCTTGCTCCTGCCAAAGGAGTATCAGCCTGAGCTGGATATCTTACAGGAATCTATTAGAAACACACATGAATAATATGTGCTCAACTAAAATACAACTTCTAGATTGTTCATTGCGATGCACTTTAGTTCCAAGTCCTCCGGTGTCATCCAAGTGTTTGGCTTCAAATCCTCAAAGCAATGTCAGGTTTGATGAGGTGTATGTGAGTCAGCATGTCAGACCATTCCTAAGGCACCGACAATTACAATACGTCCTTTCTCATCATCTTTGAGCACCGTTGCAGGAAGCCAATCCTCATTTCCAAACTGCAAGTTACACTGCAAGTTACAGAAGACAATCCGGGGGACTTCTCAGATTCTGATTCAAAGCAGCCAAGAGTCGTTGTGAGTGCTGGAGTGGTATTCGACCAAGTCGCCAAGCTTGAAAATCACCTTTGCGTCCAAGTCTGTGGAAGCTACTTTACGGGTCTTTTATCTAGAACGTGTATTCATGTGTTCTTTGTTCCATTTGTCCCCTTTCAATTTTGTGCGTGTGTGCTTGAGACCATCGCTATTGGGTGCGTTTTTACAAATACTCCCAGTGATCCTTCGATACCTTCGATCCCTCCAGCCCCTGCTGCCTTTGAGGGAATTTCTGCCTTGCGGCATTCAAACTCGACAGAAC